CCAACAAGTCATTTTCCGTGAGTTCTCCGGCCATCAGCCCCATCTGAGCTAGCTGCTTTCTGGGACCTGCTGCCCAGTAGCTAGCCACTCTGGACCCCCCTGCCCTGCTGTGCTGTGGGCGATCTCCTGTGTCCTAGATTCCATGCCTTCTTTCTTGGTTTACCCTTTGTTTTGGTAAATATAATACCCAGTTTTGCCCTTTGATATTCAATTCAGGGGGTGATGTTAAACCCATTTAACCACCAACTAATTAAAAAAATATTAATCACTTGACATCTTATCACAAAGTCACATAAATATTCTGATATTAAGTCTCACTTTTGTAAAATTAACATCAATAATATAACATGGCTGAAGAAATACTGCATTTGCAATTCCTTGAAAGCCAGCAAACGAGAGGGGTCCTCAGTATAATCCATCCACATTGGGAACTCCCACCCTCCTCTTAGGACGCCTCACGTACCAGAGGCAATGCAGGACTACCCAGTGTATCAGCCGCACCATTTTCAATCTGGACATTAAATATCAGGAGGTGATTAATTATGCTCTTGTTGTTTAGTTAAAAATTAAATGCAAGTGGAAGTTCTAAAACTGTCCTCCTGCATTCCAATGGATCGCCTTACACAAATGCTAAGGTGCTCAGCTCTCATTCTTGGCCTCACTGCTCTACTGAGCATTTACTGAGTGTCTCCTGCTCCAGTCTCCTGCTCTCAGATAGCTCACTGTTTAAAAGGGAATTCAGAAAAGAGAACAGACCATTACAGCCAAAGTGATCAGTGATGTGATAGGGGAAGCATATATGACTGGGGGGGATATTAAGGAGGGACTTCACCCAGAGGAAAGAATGTTTAAATAATTGTTTAGATGGATGTACAGACAGATGGGTGGGTGGAGGAATGAGTGAATGAATGAATGAATGAATGAATGAATGAATGAATGAATGAATGAATGAAAATCTAGGTGGATGGATGCATGGGTGCATGGATGGATGCATGGATGCATGGATGGATGGATGAATAGATAGATAGGTGGATAGATGACTATGTGGGTGAATAGGTGGATGAATGGATAGGTTGGTAGATGGGTGGATGGGTGAGTGGATGAATGAGTGAATTGGCAGATGGGTCAAGTAAATGGATAAATGGGTGAGGTGACATCACAGAGGGCAGTGGGGAATGAGAACATAGTCCCGATCAGGGCAATCATCCTTTCCCTGGAACACCTGAAAGGTGGGGACAATATATAAGTCATCCCTGTATTCCAGTGCCTAGCACAGGCCTGATGTATGATAGGCCTGCAAAAAATGTCAAGTACGTGAGTTGACGAGAATTGATGTGAGTTCAGCCAAATCTTTCCCCTTCTGTGCCCCAGTGTCTCTGTGTAAATCAGATAAGAAAACACCTGCCACCAGAATTTCTAATGTTATTGGTGCTGTAGAAGGGAGACTGCTTAGGGACCTGTTTTAGAATTCACTGCGTGACAGGCCTCGGGTAACTAGCAGCTTCTATTTCACCCACTTTAACAGCCACACCGGTGCCCTCTCCAAGTCACTGCCTGTATATTATCTTATTCAACACGGAGATGCGCGTTGTTATGATTATGCCCACTTAACAGACGAGGCTATTGAGACTCAAAGAGGCTAGGAAACTTTGAGGTAGGACTGATTGGGATTGAAATCCTGGCTCTGCTGTGTAAACTTGGGCAAGTTACTTCGCCTCTCAGAAACTTTCCAAGATGAACAGATTAAAGGAGACAAAGCATGTACAGTCTCTGACAATGGGAGGTAATTCATGGTGGTGCTTTTTGTTGCTCAAGCAGGGAAGTTACACTGAGATTCTGGTTTTTGCTATCAACCATGTTGATGCCTTTAAGTTAACAAAGAATATTAAAGGTTTGCTTAGGCCTTGGTGCTTCGATATATGTAAGAAAGATTTCAGTAACACATTTTGGAAAGTATGTTCAGAATAACTAAAATAATCAATGAGCTGCTCTCATTCCCCAGCTGGAAGGTGAAGCGGTCCCTAGTTATTTGCAGCTATGCTGACCCTTGTGGCCCTATGTACCATTTCTTTTCCTCGCCTGTCCCCTGGTGGTAAATGTGGGCACCACAGGCTCAGCATCCCATCAACATTCCTCCCCGGGGAGCCTGGCTCAAGGTCGCGGCGCGACGACATCTAGTGACTGTTGTTAATACTGCAGAGAAGGAAGGGAAGAGTATTGCTAAAGAAATGGTTGGCAATGCCTTGGCTGGATCTCACTCCCCTGCTCCATCACTCACTCGCTGTGTGGCTTTGTGTGCATCACTTAGCTTCCCTGAATGTTAGTTTCTGCATTGGTAAAATGGGCAATGCACCTACTTCAGAGGATTTTTGTGATTAATAAGAGAACTGAGGTAAAACACATAGCAAAAGGGAAATACTCCATAAAGTTTAGCTCCTCTTCTAATAAAATGAAAAATTCATTAGCCTGATTAAGTCGTTACGAACTGGTTTATAAGTTTCATAGCGTAGTGAAGGGCCACAGAGCAGGTCAGTTTTGAGGTCAGGGCAAGAAGGGCAAAGGATATTGTTAGGATAATCCAGGTCTCGGGGCACAGCTGGAGAGTGTAAGCATGGAGTCAAGAAGACATTCAAGACCTGGCTGATGACCTTGAGAAGTGACCTCTGCTTGTGTTGTTAGGACACACACATGTGAAGGTCACAGGACACAGCGTAGCAGGAGACATGAACAAAAGCAAGTGTTCCAGGAAGGACTATGGGCCAAGCCAGTCAAGGAGGGCTCCCTAGAGGAGGAGATCTTTAAGCTGGGGTAGGATCTGGAGAGAATAATGAAGAGCTCTCGAGGGTTGTTGCAGATCATGGAGGGAAAGAAAGGGAAGCATGAGCAAAGGGTCCAGGGGTTCGTGGAGGAGGCCAGCTAGAGCGAAGGCAGGAGCAGAGGTCAGGCCAGACCACTCTGGGGCCAGGAGCTTCGACTCTGGTTGGCAAGGAGCCCATGAAAACGTTCAAATGATCTGACAAGGGCAGATGCTGTGCACAGCAGCTTAACTTGGGATCTCCATGCAGGGTAGATGGGAAAAAAGACTAGATTTGGTCAAATGCACAAAAAATTCAAAGCAACAATCCCTGAAACTGGTATTGGGCAGGAACAGAGAAGGAACACAGCTGTCTGCTGGCACTTTTCAGCAGATTCTGTGGGCCTGCCGCTGGGTAGTTTTTCATTCTTGGCCAGACCTCTGTGCAGGGCTGCAGCTGCCCCCTCAAGGGCCAATAGAGTGGCCCCTCTTCCCTTCTGTACCAGGGGAAGCGGCAGCTTCTGTCCCTGAGAAGCAGTGAGGCTTGAGGCAGGGCCAGTCCTAGACCTGCTGAGCATCAGGTGGTCAGCTTCAGACAACAGAGCATGACACAGTTAGTTCCACAAGCAGCACACCCAGAGGGTAGTCTCAGCAGGCGCCAGACCTCTCTCCGGGAGGTCAACCCCTGCACAGCAGCTTACACGCTGTGGGCATGACTACTTCTCACAGCCGATCAGCCTGAAGGTCAGTCCCATCCACTGACATGGCAACAGTAATCAAGGCTCTGCTACAATAGAAGGGGACACACAACCCACACAAGGAACACTCCCGGAGCACCTGGCTCAGGTGATCTGAAGTCTGGGCCCCACGGGACACCTACGTAAGGCCACCCTGCCAAGACTGGGAGACATAGCAGATCTACCTAATACATAGAAACAAACACAGAGAGGCAGCCAAAATGGGGAGTCAAAGAAACATGCCCCAAATGAAAGAATTGGAGAAATCTCCAAAAAAAAGAGCTAAGTGAAAGAGACAAGCAAGCTGCCAGATACAAAGTTCAAAACACTGGCTATAAGGATCGTCAAGGAACTTAGTGAGAACTTTAACAAAGAGGTAATAAGCATTAAAAAGAACATAGGAAGCATAAAAAAATAAGCAGTCAGACATGAAGGCTACAATATCTGAAATGGAGCAGAGGGTTAAATCAGCGTTTCAGAAGACAACAGCAGAAAATACCCACTCAGAACAGCAAAAAGAAAAAAGAATTTTTTAAAAAGGACACCTGCAAATTAAAAAAAAGAAAAGAAAGGATTTCACCCACTACACCCACTCACCTGGCTGCAAATACTGCACTGACCTGAGAATCACTGGTTTTCATCTGCCTCATCCCCATGCAAATGTCCAGAGCCTTTCTGATGTTCCGATCAGAGTCATGAGCTGGGTGACTCACCACTTGTTCTGCTTCCATACTATTGACTCCTGAGTGTGGGAAAAGGGCCCGGAAGTCCAGCCACAGACACCAGCATTTTGAACTAGAGGAACGTAAAGTTGGGAATGAATTCCTTTACCTGCCCCGTCTACTTCACAGGGTTTCTGGAAGAATCCATGAAGAAAATAGATGAGAGGCTATTTGTCATTTTCCAGGCCCTGTGCGGCTTCTGTACAATTCATGGTGTGGGTATTAGATAAGGATCATTCTTACAAAAATACTTAGACATAGGACACATCTTGTTACTTGTCTGACCAGATGCTTTCTCTCAGAAGGCTTGCAGAGCTATCTGTGATCTGGCTCCAGTAAACTCTCTGAACTCATCTCTTACGACATTCCTTCTGCTAATTGGGACTCAACTTGTCCAGCTTGCTTCCACCCCAGAACCTTTGCACTTGCAGTTTCCTCTGCCTGGAATACTCTTTCCTGTGATATCCCTCTTCTTCCATTCTCTGCTCAAATGCTTCCTCCTCACAGAGAACCATCCTCACCAACCCTATCTAAAATACCATCCACCTCTGGCTCTATTCCTTCACCCTAATTTCTTTCTTTTCATGGCAATAATTTATTATTTATTGTCTGCCTCAACTAGAAGGGAGCATCCACAAAGGCTGGGAATTGTCTGTCTTGTTCACTGGTCTGTCCATGGCACTTGGAACATCAGTGGGTACTTATATTGGAGATCTGTTGCTGTGTAACAAGTCATCACAAAGATAGTGGCTTAAAACAACACATATTTATTATCTCAGAGTGTGTGTGGGGTCAGGATTCCAGGTCTGGCTTAGCTGAGGCTCCTGCTTCAGGATTTCCCATGAGGCTTCAACCAAGGAGTTGACCAGGGCTGGAGTCCCATCTGGAGATCTGATTGGGGAAGAATCTACTTCCAAGCTCACGTTGGCAGGACTCAGTTCCCCATGGGCTGTTGGACTGAGGGTTTCAGTTCCTTTCTGGCTGTTGGCTAGTGTCCACCTACAGTGTAGCTCACAATCTGACTTCATCACACCAGCTAGGGGGAGAGTTCACCAACAAGACAGAAGTTAGGTTTTATGTAATGTGATTACAGACATGTCATCTCATCACCTTTGCCATGTTCTATTAGCTAGAAGCAAGTGCAGGCAGGTCCTTACCACACTCAAGGGGAGGGGAGTTTACAAGTGTGTGAACGCCAGGCGGTGGGCATCATTGGGGTCCATTTTAGAGTCTACCCATCACCACATTATTTGCTCAAAAAAACTGAATATTATCCAATGCAAATGTCAAAAGGTGACGCCTGGGCAGGAGAGCAGTAAGATTCAAGATTCCTGCCTTTCATCTCTTGCACAACGTAGAGCTTCTGTGGGATTTCCTTGTCGTCTCAGCTTCCCCCTGAGGCTTTGTGACCAGCCTGATCTGCCAGCCTGCATGGTCTGCCCGGCGTTTGAGGATTCAGCCAACAGAAGTGACCCACACACAGCCCAAGCCCTTCAAGTATCCACATCCCAAAGACCACCATTCACAGAGCTTATTCCTTACCCATCAGCATCCTCATTTATTCTGGGCTGGAAATGGTGTTCTTTATGGATGGGCACTTAGCATTGAGGAGGTCTTGCCGCTAGCCAAGTTAATAATGCATCTAATAAAAAGAAAGAAAGAAACACATTGTTCAGTCGGGTAGATCTTATTAATATGGTTCAATTTTCAAAGGGCCATTACTTCAGAGTCTTGATGTCTGGGATGTTTTAAAGAAGAAACTTTTTTAAAAAAATCACCATGACAACAGAGAGACCTCCCACACCCCCAAATCTGATTACAGATTTGTCCATGGAGGGGACTCCCAGAACACATCCAGCTTACTGGGAATTCTTTTCTGCCTCCTTTAGCAAGAGTCTGCTTGCTGTCCAGAGTGAGCAGGAGCCCAGATTCATCAATATTCACTGATGAAGTCATCTCTATTCATTAACAGTGACTTGATCAGCAGACATTGATCGCCAGGCTTGTGCAAGGCACTCTGAGGGATTCAGAGAGTCATCTGAGGAGTTGACAGGCCCACCGAGGACTTGACGAGTCACAGCCAAGTGAGCCATACTCTAGCTGACTTCTGGGTGGTGTAGACCCTGCTCAGGGACCTGGGACCTGAACAAAGGACCCTGGTGAAGATCATGATGTCATGATGTGCCCACCGGACAGTTCTGTCCTGCAAAGGTCCGAGGGTAGGGGGGTGGGCTGCTCTGATGAGAAGACTGAGATGGGGGTGCGGGGAGGGGAGACTGCCCTGGGCCTTAATTTTATACAAACTCAGCCACCAAATTGCTGGATCACCTGGGGCATGTCAGTTAACCTCTCTAGTCGTTACTTTTATCCTTTACATAAAATGGGATTGTGTTTTTTCTCTGTACCCGCATTAATCACATTGCAGTTTGCTGCTTGTTTGACCACATGGCTTCCCGGATGGGCCTAAGACCTGCTGCAGCAGTGATTTGATGCTTTCTTCGAGGTACTGAGCACAGTGCTGGGTGTGTCCTAGGCACTCAGTAAATGAATGAATGGGGATTAGAGGGTTCTTGCAGCCGCTCCTTTCTTTGCCCACCCCTCCACACTGCCATTATGCTGGCCTCTCATTCTTCCAGCGGGACTAGGGTTGATCCCACCTTTGGTTTTCCAGGACAACACAGAGCACCCCAGTTGTCCAAGGCCTGCTTCTCACCCTGCCCCATCATATGGGCCACTTTGCAACCCAGGGAGGTTCCAGGGGAGTGGGATTGGGTGTTGAAGCCAGGTTTGAAGGACAGGGAGAAGGGAGCAGACGAGGGAGGAATTAGGGATGTTTAGCTCCCTGCTGCCTGTAAGATGTGTGAGAACATTCTGGGAGCTCTGGGTATTGAAGGAGCAGCTAGAACTACCATTAGCTAGTTAGATCTAACATTGCTTTAGTTTCCTGGGTGGAAGGGATCTTTTGAGTCCCCACTACAGGCAGGTAATCAGATTTCTGATATCCAGGCTTACATAGAGCTGGGAATAGTTAGTGTTTCCACCAACCAGAGTGGGAAAACTTTATAATATATGGAGAATGGGTTACAGTACTCAGAAGGATATTATCTCAGGAGTGGAGCAAAACCAGATATAGACTCGAGGCTGCTCTGGTCCCACATAACAACATTTAAAAGTAAAATCTTACTTTTGTGTCTTAGAAAGAAGTTTTAAATATTTTTTAAAAACACAAGAATAAGAAAACATTAAATTTTTTGCTCTTTAAAATATTTTGTTATGAAAATAAAAAATGCAAACCATAGGTTGGGAGAAAATATTTATGAACTACATATCTGAGAATATTTATATCTAAAATATATAAAGAACATTTACAACCTAATAATAATAATAATAATACAAACAACCACATTAATTGTTAAAAGATTTGAACAAACATTTCACCAAGGAAGACATACAGATGAGACGTAAGCACATGAAAAGATGCTCAACATCATTAAATACTGGTGAATGCAACTTAAAACCTCAGTGAGATACCACTACACACCCATCAGAATGGCTGAAATTTAAAATACTGATATATTAAGTGTTGCTAAGGATATGGGGCAACAGGAATTCTCATAGGTTACTGAAGAGGTGTGCAGTGGTATGGCTCTGGAAAACAGTTGGGCAGTTTCTTAAAAAGTTAAACATATGCCTACGATATGGCCCAGCCATGCGATTCCTACATATTTACCTAACGGCAATGAAAGCATGTGCCCACTGGCACGAGTACCAATACTTGTACCCAAATGCTCCTAGTAGCTTTATTTGTAATAGCCCAAACTGGAAACAACCCAAATGTCAATCAATAGGCGAACTGATAAACTGTGGGGTATTTTTACAGTGGAATAATATTCAGCAAGAAAATGAACAAATTATTGATACACCCATTGGCATGGATGAATCTTAAAATAATTTTTCTAAGTAAGTGGCGGGGGGAAGCATATGCACTGTGTGGTTTTGTTTATATACGATTCTAGGAAATGCAAACTGCTCTATAGCGATAGACAGCAGATCAGTGGTTTGGACTATGGTGGCGATGGAGAGAATCGCAGTCGGCAAATTGGAGAAATATTTAAAGGGCTAGATATGGGGGATGAGGGGGAGAGGCATGTTTCCCATGTCTCTAGTTTGCACTAGGAAAGGCGGCAGAGGTAGCGTTTCCTAGGATAGGAAGCACCAGTTCTGAACGTCACATAAAGAATTCAGTTCTAACGTGATGGAGTGTGTGGAAGGAGGTGCAGCTGGACTCACTGAGTAAGAGACTGGATGTTCCAGTCTGTTACTCGACAGAGAGACCTGGGCTGGAGGCAAAGGGTCTCAGAGCCCAAGTCAGCTCAGCCAGGGTTCCAGCATGTAAGTAACCTGAAGGCTTAATACTGAGAGAATGGGTGACTCCAACTGGCTTTGGAAGGCAATTTCCAAAAACATCCAAACTAACTATGGGATAAATTTGTTCAGCTCCTCTCTGGGTAATACTGAGGTTTTATTTTCTTTTTATTCTGGGGTTTTAAATATATACATACACATACACACACACACACACACACACACACACACACGGGGTAACGGGAATACCGTAGTTCAGTGAATGCCCTGAAGTGTTCAGGATGCCTAGATCCTAGTCCTGGCTCTCTCACTGTGGCAGTGTGATTGATTTTGAACAAGTAGATTACCCTCTGTTTCTTGTTTTCTCTGGGCACAGAATTCTGCATTGGCAATGACTTTCTTTCAGCATTTTAAGGCTGTTTTCAAGCTTCCATCTGTTCTGTTTTGGGTCCTAACTGGAAGATCTGGTTCCGAGCTCCCTCATGTACACAGAACTCCAGTTTTCGTCTCCCGAGGGGCCACGAAACTGCAGAAAGCTCCACCACGTTCCCACTCTCCTCTTGTCTCCTTTCTGATTGGCGTCTAATTGTAAAATGAGAGGATGGACTCTTGCTTCATTCATAGATTCATCCAATTTTTATAAAGTATGGCCTAGGCACTGTTGTCGGTGAAATATGTAGCCCAAATCCTTGCTGCCCTTTTGTGATTTCTCAGTGATGTTTCTGTGGCTTCACTTAGTGCTTGTTTGTTTCTTTTTTCCTTAGAAACATCTTTTGGTTGGGCTCAGAGTTTAGAAGACAAAAATGCATATTTAGACCTATGATTCAACAACTTACTTCAGTTCTTTGTGATTTTTTTTTTTTTTCTCAAGGTCAGTTTCGACAGCCATCTCTTATTTTTATTTAACATGGTTATTTTGTGTTGTTTTCTGGATTTGCCTTCCTAATTAAATTTCATCCAGAAAAAACAGTAAAATGAGTTTGCCCTCCCTAGTTTCTCTCAGGATGGGAAGGGGCTAGTATAATAAGCCTGCTGGGGGTGGGGAGAAGGGATTGCAGCTGGTAGCTGGGAAAATGAATCATGCATACATCAATAAAAGAGAACAGACCACCCTGGAGCTGGGAGGCTCAGATTGCAGCTTTTAATCATATACATGTGTTAGGGAAGAGTCCAGCATTTTCGCAAGAACCTAAGAAATGACCGTTAGCCTTTCATAAGATATTTATCTCCCAAGACCCTGGGGTTGCCAGCAGTGGCGTGGAAGGGTGCATGGACAATCTTCTCTCTTCATATCTTAGTTTGATAGTCTCTACTATATTAATCAGTACAAATTTATTTTGGATAATTTTTATTTTCACCTTTATTTTTGTGTACTTTGTTTTTTTCCAATTTTTTTGTTGTTTGTTTTTTGTTTTTAACAAGAAATGGGCACTCCTTTTATAATCAGAGAAACAAAATCCATGGTAAATAGAATTTTTAAATATATGTAACCTATATACTGTAATGGACACAAATAAAATGTTTTGTGCAGATGTAGAATTCTGTTGTAAAGCAGGATTGCAGGCAGCACACTTTGGAACTGAGAGCCTGCACCAAATAAAGCACCCCTCTCTCTCCCTCAGAGGACTCCCTGGTATTGTTGTTATATCCGTCTCTGTCCTAGGCTACTTGTCTTCCCCCACAGTAAAGTCTCTTTAACAGTGGGGACAGAAGTCTACAGCACAAATCAAAGGAGGCTGTGCAAATATTTGCTCAATTTTTGCTCAACGAATTGAAATTGAATTGAAGATGGGCACCTGCTCCTAGCTGCTGTCTAGGCCGGGATTGCTTGCGTAAAATGCATAGCATGACTTGGGGGAGCCTAGGACTATTTTTATAAGATCGGTGGGTTCAGCTTTCAGTGAATTTTGAGTTTCCCTGGGACCAAGATATGTGTGTGCGTGTGTGTGTGTGTGTGTGTGTGGAAAGGACAAAGGAGCAGGCTGGGAATGGACGGAGAGACCATGGTTATGAGCCAAAGACACTGCACTTTTTCATTTCTACTCTTTTACAGTCATCAGTGGGCATGCCTGCTCCTATATCAGACAGATAATGATGATGATAATTACTATTCTGCAGGAACTGATGTGCCAGGCACTGAGCTATGGGCTGGGACTACTCCAGACTCTCTTGCTTGCAAATGACAGAAAAACTAATTCTAATTTGTTTGGGGGAAAGCCGGGGATTTATTGGACATGTAATTGAAAAATCCAGGTCCTGATTTCTGGCATGACAGAAAGCTGCCTGTCTCTTGACACTGCTTTCCCTTGGGTCAGCTACAATCTCTCACATGGCTCCCCAGGTGCTGGCCAGATGGCCACTGGCTGCATCCTGCCTCCTCAACAACCACAAAGGAAAGAGGTTTGATGGGGGTAGTGGTCTTGATATTCTTCCCATATACATTTTCCCTGCAGGAACCTTTTCATATAGCTCCTTCATCCTTTATGGCTCAGCCATGAAGTGTTACTGCCCTGAGGGGCAGGGCAGGGTAGGTACCACTCAGAACCCAAAGCCCACTGGGAGGGGGGAATGGAAGG